AAAAAATAAAGGCACTCCCCCCCCCCCCAAGTCTGAGAAGTGTGAGTTGGAGCCAAACCAAATAAGAATGGGTATGAGTTTGAATATCAATGTTGTAATGCATCTGCCTTGTATCCCTTTACTTTCTGTGTTGGAGAAAACATCACATTATTAGGAGAGAAAATAAAAATAAACACACAAACTTTCCCCTGCCTTTTGGGAGCAATCTTAGTCTTTATTTCTTCATGAAGCAGTTTGTATTCTGAGAAACTAAACAAAAGTCTATTCAATGGAATGTAAATTTGTCAATATGGCATTCATGCCTCATGATCAAGACATCTTACTTTTGAAAGTGTTGTGCCTGCTTTTATGCTCTTTTGGAATGAAGAAGATTGATTTTGGGAAGGCTATTCTTTACAGACCTTGTGCACATTGCAGCCATATGTTGGATGAATTTAAAAGTAGGTTAACAAAATAGGCAGATTTCAGATGTCTGTGGCAGGTGATGATGGTTTAATATAAGAAGAGGGAAGGCTAGAAAAAAACCTTTTAATAAGCCACTTTCAATCTCACTTCTCAAATTTAGCAGTGGGTAGTTTGTATTTTTCCCTTCCATACCTCCTATCTTTCTTAGTGCAAAATAATCAGCAAAAAAACAGTAGGAGACACCAGGCCTGAGTTCCACCTGCCTCCTCCTCCAGATTTCACTGCTGCCCTGTTACATCAACAGTCACTTATCTGATTAAGAAGAGCACTTTAAGGGAGTGGCACTTCCTCAAGGCAACAGGGAACAGTGGCAGTGGAAAAACTGACTTTAATCCCTGGAGATTTCTTGTTAACCAGCCCATTGTGCTAAAGATACTCTATTTGTATAGATGACAGTTATTAAAGAGTATTTAGTCTGGGAAAGTTTCAGTGGAAATAAGGATAGGGTGCCAGTCTTTAAATTACTCTGTACATGAATCTTAGAGACCATCAAAAGTTCTGAAACTATCACAACATGGGCAAAAATAATACTGAAGTTGGTTTTCTATCCACAGAACAGTTGCAGCAGCAGCAGTGTAAACTACATCCCCCACCCCAGGCACGTCCAGATGAGTGTGCAGATGCTTCTTCAGGCATCTCAAAGCAGTTTGAGATGTTGCAAGAGGCAGGCTGGGAACAAAAAAACCTTCCCCATGCTGCATATTTGCACCATGGACTCTAAATTTGATACCTGGAAATCCAGGTATAAAAAAAAAAGCCCATGGAAAAAAAATGGGACAAGGCACACTGCTGTAACATGCTGTCTCGGGGAGACAACTAGTAAACTGGGCTTACCTGCAGAACCCGAGGAGGAGCACACGACGCTGCAGAGAGGACCCGCGCAGCGTGTCAGCCGCCTGTTTATACAGGTGTGTCCAGCCGGTGACGTCATGGAAGGACACCAGCCGAGGAAGTTAAAAGCGGCAGCTGCAGCTGCGGGAGAGGCGGATAGCCCCAGGGCAGAGCAATTAATGGCTCCGCTGGCGAGAGGGGTGGAGAACCCCAGGGAGGGGGAGCTACCGGCTCCACCGGGGAGAAAGGCAGCGGCCGACAGCGTGGCTTTGGAGGAGCAGAGGTGGACAGCGTGGCTGGAGGCTGCTCCTGATAGAGGAGGAGCGGGAAGCATGGCCAAGGAGGGCACGACGGAGCACAAGCCCAAAGACAGTGTGGCCCGCAGGTGGAGTGTTGGGGCAACGGTGCAGAGACTTGGCCACATAAAGGGGGAGAAGACCCGGGAGAGCCTGGAGAGGGTGTAGTCAGGGCGGGGATTGCCGCCGAGCCACAGTGCCATGGAGGTGTAGTGGCACTAGGGAGACTAGGGGCCAAGGATGGCTCAGAAGGACCGGGGAGGTCCAGATAGGATGCTCAGCATGTAGGGGGGCTGAGTAACGGGTCTTTATGTTTGTTTGTTGTGTTTTGTTTCATGATGTTGGATGTCTCAGCTGGGATAGCTAAGGTAGCATCTTCATAGAAAGAGGGTCGCTAGTGCTTTGGTGAGGCCGAACCTGTGCTGCAACCTCATACAGGATCAAACAGGGAGAAGGCAAGGAGGACCATGGACTAAGCTGGTCGGGTGAGCACCACGGCAGGGGCAGAACAGGTGGGGCGGGAATATTACACCACCACCGAGGAACCGGACCCACAGAAGAAGAACACATTAGAGGTGGCGTGAGGCCGGGGTGCAGGGGTGGCAGAGCCCCGTGATGTGACCGTCGAGGGACCTGGGTCACGGAGTGTACCACTAACCAACCTTAACATTGTAGAACTTCAAGTCGTGGCGAATGAGAACAAGGTCAGGGACTTGGGCGAGAGAGAGTTGCTCCGATACCGAAGCGGTCCCAAGAGGGTAGTGTCATCTACCTACAGGACTAGAACCACCCGAGAACAGGGGATCGGAACCCGGCAGTCACACATGCCTTGAAGAAACTGGAGGCTGGGATCCTCTGAAGAGACACTCTGGTAGCCAGCCAGAGCATCTCTATGGATGTCTTTTGTCCCGGTGCTCTAGTATGCTGCCTCCCCATGTGGGGTAAAGAACGGTGTACGATGCAGAGACCTGGACCTGGGCTCTGTCTCAGGTAAGTAGGGACTGGGGGTGGGGATGACTGGAGTGAGGGTCTGCACGGGTATGGGGGACTATGTGGGGGGGGGCTGCTCAGGAGGGGTGGGTCCCCCACCTGCCCCTGCACACCCCCCCCCCTCCCACAGCAGCAGCGGCTATCAGGGCATTCACAGCCCTCCTGGTGCAGAGCTCCCCTCTGGTTAGGTTACAGTCTAAGTAGCCTGATCCTGCCCAAAGGAGCACAGCCCTGCGCCAGGCCAGGCCCATGCAATGTGGCACAGGCTGCACCAGATGCCAGGCAAGTAGCCCTGAGCTGCTCAGCAGGGAAGGTTTTTATACTTTTGGGGCCAGCACAGATGCTGGCCCCAGCCTCTAGCTCCCCCTGGCTGAAGATCCAGGAGGAGCTGGGCAGGACCAATTTGCCCCAAGTGGCACAACCTGCCCCACACTGAAGTGCATGTTCAGGCACGTGTACTGAGGCAAAAATCTCTGGTACAAATTTGTGTCACTCTTATTTGAGCTGCTGCTAATGCATGTGCCTGCATGTGTGGATTCACCCCCAATGTACCATCAATTCAAAGATGATTCTACCTAAAAATATGCAGTGTAGTTTAGTTACTGTTATTTCATTTTTTTGTGTTCTATTAATATCATCCGTGTTGTAATTAATGATAATTAATTATTTAAGGATGTGGATTTATCCAGGGATGTATCAATAATGCACTTTTTGATTTGTCTGTAAGACGAATAATTGAAAAACAAATTTTCTGTTCAAATTCATCTGAATTTTAAAGTTTGTTTTTTTTAATTTTTCACCAGAACAAAATCCCTAAATGTTTTGTTTACTTTGGAAATATTCTGAGAGAAAGCTTTTGTTTTGGTAACTTGTAAGAAGAACAATGTCCTGGTGATTCAGAGCACAGGGTAGAAAGCATCTGTGGCTATGATACCACCATTAATACAGAGATCACGGCTTCACAAGCTGGATTGATTCACTCAGTAGGCCAGGTCTTGTCTATGGTGTTACCAGATTTGCCGGCTACTTTGGGGTGTGCTCATTTATTAGGGCTAGGGTCT